CTACAGACAGATTTCCAGGGCTACACAGAGAAACCCTGTCTCAAGCACCCCCCCAAAAAAAAATCAGAAAAGAAAAACAAGCAGAAGGAAAGAAATATTAATAAAGCTGGTGAAAAATGACAGAACAAGAATAAAGAAAATAATTAAAGCCCAAACAAACACTTTGGAAGGTCTATAAGATCAGTATCGTCCAAAACTGAAAAGATAAAAGAAATTAGCAATCAAAATTGAAAGATTTTTACTACTGACTTCACAAACAATAAAATCAACATGACAGCTCTGTGCACTTGAACTTTTCAACCAAAAACAGTGACAGCTCATGGATAGTCAGATACTGCAGAGTTTAGACTCAGCTCAGTTGTAGAGCACATTGCTGAACATCTCTGAAGGCCTGGGTTCAAATACCTGCATGGAAACAAGTCATAATGCAAAACCTCAGAAGCCGTCTGCACTGGAAATAAGAAATCACAAGGCTAAGATGGCTTCCTGTGGGTAAACTACTAAGAAATTCTATTTCTACATGATTGCACACAGAAAAAAGAAAAGGAAGCATTCCCAGATTATATTTATGAGGTCAGCCTTCATGATAAAAATCCACAGATTTACTAAATATATAGTAGTGTCCTGAAATTGGGATTATCTCATGAACACAACTGTGGTGTGTGTGTGAGTGTGTGTCTGCATGCACACAGGGAAGCCAGATGTCAACTTTAGACATTGGTTCTTGGGTGCGGTTTTGTTGTTGTTGTTTTGTGGTGGTTTTTTGTTTTTGTTTTTGTTTTTAAAGACCAGCCTGGAACTCATCAGTGAGTGAGTTTGGGTGGCCTACTAGCCCTGGGTATTCACCTGTCTCTGCCTCTCCAGTACAGGGATTCCAAGTGTGTCTTAGCTCTTTTTCGTGTGGGTTCTAAGGGTAGAACACAGGCCCTCATGTATAGCTGATCTTTACCTACTTTGTGGGTTTTTCTTTTTCCCACCCCTTATCCCCACAGTTTCGCCCCATAACCAACCTCGATAAACAACCAACAACCACTGACCCTGCCTATTAGGGTTGTAGCATCTATACACCCTCTGAAAAATTCTCAGAATTTCACATATCACAAAATTGCAGAAACTATCTGCAGCTGGCAAAACCATGCTAGAGCATGAGACAAATCATAATCAGCTGCTGCAAACAGTTCAAAGCAGCCCCATGTCTCCACACCTGGGATTAAAATGAAAACATATTCTTATCTTTCTACACCTTTTTTTTAAGAAACCCAAATTTCACATTTGTCACTATACTCATGCTTGTATGGCAAGCCCTTTAACTAATTGACCTGTCTCCCCAGCCCCATAAACACTATTTTTAAAGTCTTAATATTGAGAAATCTATAAATGTAATGTTAATGGACACTCTCGAGTCACCTGTCAGATCTGTCCCTACTTTTCTGTCCTACTTTGACAGAGATTGGCCTCTGTATTCCCTTGCTCTGGACTCCCAGATGCAGTCAATGATACAACAAAGGTTGGAGAGAAGAAGAGATCTCTGCCTTTTCCTCTATCCCCTGCAACGCCTTGCTTTGGTAATGGCTGCTTGCCTTTTAATATTGATTGCTTGGTATAAGGAATTGAACCAAAGCCTCATACATATTAGATATCCATTCTATGACCTATACCAACTCCAAACTTGTAAAATTTTAGTTAAGCAACTTTTCTTTTTTAGTCAAGATCTTCCTGTGTTCGAGCTTCAAAGACCTTTCTGTCTCAGCTTCCTTAACAGCTGGGACTACATAAGGCCAGCAGCAAGATGGCCCAGGCTATGGCTTCCTGTCTTTACCCAGTGCCACAGCTCTTGGCAGAAGCTTTTCTCCCACAGCTTCACCTATCTCCAGGTTCTGATAACTCCATCTTGCAGTCTCTGCACGCTGATAGGATACATCCAGTTGAAAGATGCCTTTGCCATTCCCCCAATACATACATTCCAACGCACTGTTGCCAATCGCTGCACAAGCTAAACTCACCTCAGCCATACCTTTGAATATGCTTTGAGATACGACCTAATTAGCACACAAGAGGAAAATAAATCATCTCAAGAGATGAAACAACAAACCTAGACACAGAATTCAGAGTAAATTACTGAAAGAAAACATGTTTTCTAGACATTGTCCTAAAAGAGAAAAGTTTAATGTCATCCTTTAGGAAGTGGGGAAACAAGACAAGAATATCCTACTGGACTGTGTCTATTTAACACTGTACTGGGTACCATAGTTTGAAGCTCTGTGGGACCACCATAGCGGTGAGAGACAAGAAGGTAGTTCAGTTCAGTTTGACTAAATAGTAGCCGGTGTTCAAACCTCAAGACTCTGACCCCAAGTAGTTTATTTTAGGCATATTTAAACACAGCACAATTTGGTGAAAACTTTCCTCATGATAATTTAACTCAGTGTGCACAATAAAGCGTAAGATGTGAATGTGACATCTTCCATAAAGATAGGTTCTATATATTGGCCACATGTAGTGCTTTACATAAAGATAGTTTCTATTGAGTGGCAAGCCTATGGTAAGGTCTAGGGGGAGGATCTAGTATGGTCTTGGCCATATAAATAGTCCAAAGGTCACCAGGCTGTTAGCCACATCTGATCCTAGCCTTCTGGGCAGATAACAGGTTATGTGTCCCCCCCTTTGAAGCAGCGACCTGTGTGTTTAACATTCCTGCTTCCCCTAGCACTAATCTGTGAGCACAGGAGCCTCTGTGCTTCCCCCTCCCAGGACCCCCTGTACAGGAAATCTTGGTGACTAACGCAAACTTGAACTCCAATAATTAGACTGGGGTGAAAACAAACAAACCTTGGGTTGGGGGTGTAGCTTTTTGTAGAGCATGGGTTGAATATGTGCAAGGTTCTCTGACAATTTCCATGCCAAATTATAAATTAAAAAAACAAGTATTATTGTAGCTTGTTACACAGCAATGAAAACAGAAATATCAGATTGTGAAGGGTCTATAAACGGGGAAAGTTACCTACAGAAGAAGCCACAAAGTTCTATTGATTTAATTTCTGGTGCTGCCACCAAGCTCTGAATGTCTCAAGTCCTGAATCACCAGGACCCAAATGGTAGGAGAGAAGTGACTCCTGCAAGTTGTCCTTGGACTTCCGTAAATCTGTCCAAACACACACTGAATGCATGGCTATTACATAATCACAAAATTAAAGATAAAACAGTGCAATTGTCAATTTCAAATACAGGGATTTTTTTTTTTAATAGCAACGAGCTTTGGTCACAGAATTTAGTAATTCTCAGAGTTGGATTAAATTCTAAAGTCTACAAGCCATTTCTTTATAAGAGTAAAGAGCAGAACAGATCCCAGGTGTCCCCCATTCTGAGGTCAACAGAGGGTGACAGAGAGGAAATACTCAATTTTTGCTAATGATGGAACCTTTCAAGTGTGTCAGTATCTTAATTTTGTTTGGAGACAACACATTTTAAAAGTTGCTCTTCAAAGAGTAAACTAACATACATAATTTTAGTGTGTGTTTAAGCAATTTTGAGTATCTGAAAATAGCAAATACTCAAATGTGTACCAGTTCAAAAAAAATTTTTTAATTAAAAAAATCAAATTCATCTCTGAAGTCCGTTTTAATGTGCAAGCAGAAAATGCAGTTGTCAAGAGTAGCTGTTACACCTCAAAGGCCTTTGGTTAATTAAGTGAAAGGCCTGACTAAAGTTCCAAGAGCTAATATTGCTTCTCTGGATAAGATAGATGTGCTTTTTGAAAGTTTCCTATAAACAATGGTCCACTGCCTCAGGTCTTGTTAATTCAACTAAAAAACCTAACAGTGATTTCCTACTTTCGAATTTATCTGATCACAGCTGCTCTTTTGATGCACGTTATTCACGCATCAGAACACCCAAAGACAAAGGTAGTTATGTGGGAAGATTAAACATTTACTCTTCGTTTCAATAAAGGAATCAATTTTTCCTTCAGAACTGAGTACACAGTACACATCATTTCAAGATTATTTCTGAAGGCCGAGGGCAAATGAAGAAACGCAGCCTTGTTTATAAAATATTCTCACTCCACATATAGAACGCCAATATTTAGACGTAAGATCACATTTTAAGGACCTCAACAGCCATTTTTAATTTCGTCAAGTAACGGTTGGGTGAATTTAGTCTTTATCAGAAAAAGTCGCCTTCTTTGCGATGCGAGTGGGCAACTAAACATTACGGAGATAGAGTAACAGGCACAAGTTTGAGGACTTAAGCCTGATGCCGAGTTATTTCAGCGACAAAGATTTTCTTTTCCCGAGTTGCTTGTGGAGGGGTGGTGATGTGACACGTCCGGAACGCCAAGGCCCTTGGACCACGAGTCTCGCAGGAACACCGACAAGCGGGCACAGAGGACCTCGGCGGACACAGCAGGCCCTTCGGGGTTGCCTGCCCCTCCCGATGCGACTCCAGGCGCCACGCGGCTTCCCGGCCCAGCCACCGGCTTGCTGCCTCCGCCGTCGCAGCGAGCGCCCCCCGAGGGCCCGCCCCTGGGGGTGATTGACGGGCAGCCTCCGCCAATGGGCAGCGCGCTCGGCGCGGCGGGCAGGGAGAGAGCCGCGCCTCCGCGGAGGGATCTCCCTCGCGCGCTAGTCCCGGGCGAGGTGCTGCGGCCGGCGCCATTTTCTGAGCCGCCTGTGTCGGGTGCCGCCATGTTGGTGAGGAGAAATCACCGTTACGGCCACTGCCCAAATCCCCGCGTCGCCGCCCGCCGCCCGCCGGCTCCCACGCCTCAGCCTCCGGCGGCGAATACAGACTAGAGCGGCCGCGCCGGGGCGGCGCGGGCCCGCGGCCCAGTCTTTGCAGTTAGAGCCCCATCTCTCTGGCGTGGTTGTTAATAGACTGGAAAAGTCTGTGTCTGTGTCGCTCACTAGTAACCGTGAGTTTTTACCACCTCGTCACCCCGTCGGCGGCGGCCGGGAGCAGGTGCCCGCAGGCGGCGCAGGGGCCCCCCCCGCGCCCCGCCGCCGCCGGCCTCCAGACCTGCCCTCCAGCCCCGCCCCGTTCTTGACCAAACATGACAGACTGTGAACATGCAGGGCACGACAGGTCGGGAACCCTTCTTGTCTGTCTTTCTGTCGGATGAGAGGAGGGGTCGGGGCGGCGGGAGCGGGCCGGGGCCGGGCGCCTCCTGCATGACTCAGACGCCTCGGTGCGGCCCCCGTCGGTTCCGTGGCGCGCACCCGGGCGCCCGCCGGCCGCGCGGGGACAGGGCAGGGAGGCCTGGCCGGCCGCGCCCGCCTCCCGGAGCCGGGGTCGCCGCGAGCCGCCCCGCCCTCCCCGCCCCCCCCGCACCAACGGCTAGATCGGAAGAGCGCCGCGCAGGGAAAGAGCGTAGATCTCGGTGGGCGCCGTCTCCTTAAAAG